CTTAGGATTACAAGTCTTGATTGATAATTTTAGTATTGTGTTAGAGTATCTTTGTGTAGCCAAAACTTCAAGCAATTTAAAAAAATACAAATAAATTTTTAGAAGTCTAAATAAAACCCCAAATTTTATTTTATTATAATCTGAAAAAATTAATAATCCGAAACTATTACTAACCCAAATATATGAAGTCTTATAAATACTGATAATACGTAGATATTTATTTATTTAATATACATAAGTAAGCATATATATATATATATTTAAAGAAATAATAATAAATTTACAGTGTGAAATTTTGTACAAATCAAACCATTAAGATCAAATATTTATCGTTATTTGGTTTTTCTGATCAGCATTAACCAAAATATTTCTAGCAAATTTATAATTCCATTCACCCATCGCTTTTAAACACTTTGTAATTAAAGGTAATAAAGGTGGGAATATTCCGAATACAATTCAAAATAAGGCAGCAACAAAAGTAAATATTGCAAAAAACCATTTTAAAAAAAGGAAGTAAGCAAAACATTTCCAAGTATAATCACCTCCAAGTTCTGGGGGAAATGCTATGCAATAATCTGATTTATATGATATACTAGGGAGCTGATCTGGTTCACTTTTATGACAAAGGCGAGTTGAAACAAGTTCAATGTATCCTAGGGCTCTTTAAATGGTTTTAACGAAATTTTGTTAGAAAGTTAAATTTTTGTACAAAAAGAAAAAACTATTGTAATATTAAATAATATAGTACCTCCAACTCATAGCAGATAACAGCCAAAAGAAATGACCGAGAAATATAAAAGGAGTGGTTGCAATTGCAAGAAAGAATGTAGCCCATATCCAACCATAAGCAAATAATGACAAGGGTAAAGAGATAAACAAAAAATACGAGACATTTCCAGGGGGTAGGATCCTTGACTGAATCTGATATCGAAGTTAAAAAAGATACATGACTTGGTGGTGCATAAACAGCGCCAATACTACTATGTTCTTGGACAAAAATTGTTGAATTCAATGAGGTGTTCATTGTCTCGATACTTGATATTTAAATTTCATACTATGTGATGTTAATTGAAAATTAGCCCAAAAGACAATTTTATCCATTTTATTCACTTTACATTTCGCTAATGAACCGACAAACACGGTTGTTAATTGTTCCACTGTTCGTGTAAACGTGTTTCGGATGTAATACAGGTATTACTACAGACACGAAATTATTTTTGTGCTTAATTGAACTATAATTAAAGCTGGTTCACAAAGAAAAAATGGTTAGTAAAGTAGTACTGTACGACTGATTGAAAAAGAACTAGCTCGAAGTTTTGGCTACACAAAGATACTCTAACACAATACTAAAATTATCAATCAAGACTTGTAATCCTAAAGTGGTAGATTTCATTGAGTGAAGGGATTTGGTACGTATGTACGAGTTTCGTTCTAGATGTGGAGAATTGATACGAGTATTGGGGTCAGAGGATTGAACTTAGCTAACGCACAAAAAAATGCGCGGCAATTTGGCCTGCATTAAAATAATTTAGGCCGATGATCTTCAGAATTATTTTTGTCCGGAAATTAATTATTTTTTTTAGAAAATAAGCCTATTCTAGGATAAAATTTGAAATTTGACACAGGAACATTTTCACTTAATGGGCGGCTGCAGTTTCATTATTAGAATTTGGCGTAATTGTGGCCTAATTATTTTTTTTTTACCGCACAAAAATGTGTGGCAACTATGTACGTATGTATCGGTATGTAGGTTAAAAATTATGTTGCTGCTAAGTCATATGGATGGGTCAGAATCTAATTTTCCCGGATCGCACGAGATAATACATACGTACTTAAATCGTAAAATACTATTATAAGATTATATATAATTTGATATTTTCATTACATATTGTATATATATATATGTGTGTGTGTGTGTGTGTTTTTTTTTTCATAAAAGAAGTCTATATTCTTTTACAATGACATCAAATTGTGTTTCTATGTTTTAAAAGTGTTCAGGCACTTTTGAAACTCCAGGGAAATCCGAGAAAATGTAATGTAGAATTTTCCAAAGGATAAGAATGTTCAGGTGTACCAGATGAGACGTCTGATGGATTATCTTTAGACCTCCACTGTACAATAACCTGTGGTTGAAAACTATAAGAGATGATAACTCCTCGTTGAATTTTTTCAATGATTTCCAAATCAATTGCCGTTTGTGGGTTAACAAGCTCATTTAATAACTTATTAGCACCAATATATGAAACGGCATAAGCGTGAGTACATCCTGGTGTGATAGACTGGTAAATTTTGTGTTTATCAGAACCACCTACACCTTCACCATACATTTCAAAACCACAATGGCCAAGGTATAACATTTCCCAATCGGCAGGTAAAACAAGTAGGATATCAGTCATTATATTCACGATATTCATTTCGATATCTACGTCATCTTCTAAAATTAAGGCATTACCATAGCCATTCCTTATAATTGATTGGTATACTTTGTAATGACTAACATAGCATGCTTTCATAGAAGTTAAAAGTTGACCAGAATTAAATTTATCAAGTTCTTTTCTGTCATATTTTGAAACAGCGGGAAAGAACTCAAAATCTAAATTAAGTTGATTTGCGATAGCTTCCATTTTCTCACGTCTATCCGTTCGATATTCGAGGTTTATAACATAAATATGATCAAAACCAAGGGTAGAATTTAAACTTTTAGAACTGAAATGATAGGAAAAAATTGGAAACAAAAAAATTATGCATAACCATATTATGATTAATAGGATGAAAGATAAATATATCGTTTGTCTCTTAAAGATTTTCATTATTGTTAACATAGTTGAATAGATTATGTATCGGTATTAAGATGAATTTAAATAAATGAAGGAACAGCTGTAACGGCTGTACTCTATTATTGATGCATGTGAAAACATAGCAGCAAATGTATATCAATATGTATTATCAAATATGTATAATAATTGCCAAAAAAATACATATTTGATTACTCAGCCTTAGAAGAAAGAATCCTGGGCGGCCAACGAAGGCATAATCCACTTTATTAGTCCACTTTATTAAATACAAACTTCCATGTTAGAGATACGAATTAAATTTGAATATTCATGGGTCTAATCGTTATAAAACTGTTCTAATGGTCTAACACTTATAAAAATCGCTCTAACAGTTTAACCATTATAAAATTGATCTAACAGTTTAACCGTTATGAAAATATCTTAACGGTCTAGTCATTAGAAACTGTTCTAACAGCTTAACTGTTATGAAATTATTCTAATAAATAAATTCGAATTTCATGTGTGAATTATTCAAATTATTCGAATATAAAAATTAAGTTCGATTCCGATCTTATAATTTTGTTAAAATGATAGAAGTTTACTAGTATTGCTTAACAAAAATTATGCTAGGGTCTCTCTTAAAATAAAAAATCATGAATAATTTCAATTTAAATTTGGCCAAGTCAGACACGATTTAATTTGAATTTAAATATCCAGGCATAGTGTGACAAAATTTGATCTTTATACGTATAAATTAGACAAGGATTTTTAAAAAATAAAATAATTGTTTTTATTGTTTTAATTCGTTATCAAAGGTCATCTATACTTCGAGATCCATAAAAAAATCAATTTAAAGATATACTGTAAATATACAAAATCTAAGACTTAAATTAATATTCTTATTACAAAGTTAAATATACGGAATAATAAAAATGGTATAAACAATGGTTACAGAGATAAATACAAGATTTCTAATATAGCTGTATAAATCTATACAAATATTTTAAATAAACAAAAACATTTTGTATTTAAATTAGTTAATATATAATAAGAAATTGGCTAAACAATAATAACAGCGTATTAATCAAAAAGTTGCTAATAAGCATAAGATTATCTAAAACAACAAATAAAAATAATCTACGTAGCAAGTTTGAAATTATTAATATTTAAATTTTGAATTAATAAATATTTATTATAACAAAATCAAAATCAAATCGATTTAATTTGACCAAATTCAAATTACCTAAAAATATATATAGTTGATTTAGATTTTGATTTAGATAAAAATAACCTAATAAACAAAACTATACAATAAAAGTAAGAAATTGATATGTATCTCATACCGAATAAAAAATACGTATTTAAGAAGAAACTTGATGCTTTTTTTATATGTTCGGATATCCAGATCAGTAACATCGATACGGCCATTGATTCTTACATAATAACGATCCTTACATAGTGATCCACACATATTGATCGCTAGCAATAACATCTGAGTCGTACTTTCCCTCACCAATAGTATCACAGGTCACCTATGTTCCAGGAATCAGACAAACAGTTGAGCGGGGTATCATTATTATTGGTTAAATTTAATGTTTTCCAAGACAAAGAATATCATTATCGTTACTTTTAATTTTGATCATCTTCTGGCGTTATTATTGGGTGACGCAGCTTGCCGTAAAAATACTGCAAAACACTGCAATTGTAATTAGTAATTATTTATGTAATTTGAGAATGAACTAATCACAATTGCACATTCAAACTACATTATTTGTAAAACCCCCTTATCGCTATTGTCAGGAACCCGTAACATTTAATAATAACAAAAAATATTCGAGTTTTAAAGACCCTTATGTCCGATATGTATTCAAACTTAAATGGGCTAGCTTATATAACCCGGCCCATGATGGCTTTGACACATCACGTAGGTAAGCCTTAGTCTAAATATAGAAAACTCTTTGCCATTTTGTCAGATGACCATTTCACCTTTAGCCAAACCCTAATTAATTTTATCATTAGCCAAATTAGTCAGGCTAGTCAGACTAGTCAGACTAGTCAGACTAGTCAAAGCTATTGCTAACCCATAGCTGAGGTTAATAGAAGTAGTTTAACATACTTCCAAGCCAAGATTCTGGATTGGTTACCATCCAAGGACTGAGTGATTTTCATGTTTATTATCGTGATACCTATCAAAAAAGTGTATGATATTATGTAATTATAAATAATAACACCTAGATATTTTAAAATTTCATGAGAATAATGACAAGAATAATGACAGAAATAATGACAGAAATAATGACAAAATAATAATTGCACAAAAAATACATACAAGAGGAGATCAATGGTTTGTAATAAACTTTAAGAGGATTGTAATAAAACTCTACATAATAGTAGACATAATATATTATTCTCGTATCTGCGGAAATAAAAAATTAAAGTTTTTGCCACAACTTGATCTCCTTTGTGCTCAATACGATTAATTAGAGAATTAAATTCTTGGTAAGTTTAGTATTTAATAATGTTTAATGTCGTACGCACATACACACGGACGTACTTGTTTACGCTAGCTGTTAAAGCAAAACCTTGAATAAATCGAGATAACTGTATTAATAAACTCGTATTTTACGTCTTCGTTTTTTCTTTCTTGTTATTTTTTTATTTTTTATTTTAATAAATAAATGGCGTCTTCGCCGATTTCTTAAATGTTATGATCTTTTTCTTTCCCAATATATCAAAAAGCTTGTGATCTTGAATTCTACAGTGTAAGAAATCTTTTTTTTTTTTTTTTTTTTTAAGCCAACCTTACGTACATATGTACGTACGTACGTACGTGAGTATAATGTGGTGTAAGTGTATTGTAGTAAAAGTGTATTGTAGTAGTTATTACGACAATATAAAAAATTATAAGCAAACCGGTTTTAATATTAGATGAAACTGAGTCGTGACAATATAATTACGCTGGCGTTACTGCGTGCGTACTCACGCACGTACTATTACTTTGTACGCATTTATGATAAAATTGATTTGTATCATAACCTCCAAATATTAGGTTTCCAAATATTAGGCTCCCAAATATTAAGCTCCCAAATATTAAGCTCCAAATATTAAGCTCCAAATAGTAAATATAAAATATACTAACCGCGAACTCGATTGAGTCGATTGAGTTTGTTTGATCTTTTTCTTTTTTATTTTCGTAATAATAATTAATATTTCCACTTCTATCTTTTTTACAGTATCTCTTCTAGTAAGATCATCCCAACTTTCGACCTCGCGATTCATTATTAATAATTCAAGCTGCCGTAAATGAATAGTAGTAGTTGAATATAAATACAATAAAGACGCATTATATGCATTATATGTGTAATGTGAGAAACAAACCTTTTCTATTTTTTTCAATTTATGATGACATTTTAATTAGGCCATTGTTCAAAGTTCTTTTGACTCGTGTCTTTTATACCTTTTAGTGGTTGTTTAACTTTTCACGAAGCCAGAAATCCTCAACTTTTAATCAATTTTGTCAATAATAGTTTAATTGAATCCTGCAAGTTATCATAATTAGATTTAACGTTATGGTCACTCGCCCAGCGCTATCGTTATATAATTAAATTGGGATGTGTACGCACGTACGCCGTTTCATGGATGATCTCGGAGAATTAGAGAGTAATAAACAAAGATGACAATGGGCGTATGCAGAATGCAAAAGTTCTGCTCTTGATATATGTTGCTTTTTTATTCATCGAAAGTTACAAGAATAATACTTCTGTGTAATGCATCTAAGTAAATATGGCTGCATTAACCGTATTAATATTGATACTGTTCACACAAAGTTTGAAAATAAAAAGTCACGACTTTTTCTAAAAAAAAAAATCATAAAGCCTATTAGATACACTCCTTGTACGCAAAATGAAATATGAATTTCCTTAGTTTAATTTAAAACTAAGTGGTTTTTTTGTAAATGCTTTTTTTTTTTCTTTTTTTATAAATTAAAAAGACTTTTTTTTTTTTTTTTTTTTTTCTGTTTATAAAAATTTGAAACTTTGTCAAAAAGTTAAAGTCATAAAATCATCTATTTATTTTTTAAAGCAAAAAAAATACGCAAAAAAAAACGATAAATATGCAAACTTCGGAATTACTTACTATTAATTTTCCGAAAGCCTCAAGTCGAAAGGCTTCCATCGTATCCTCAAGTGCTCCTCCAAGTCCTCATTTTATTCAAAATAATTTGAGTCATGACTTAAATGATATTTTACGAGGTTTTGTTGATGAATTATGTGAAATTTTTATTGAAGCAAGGCAACGTGGTAAACCTGATACAACCACTTGTAAACTTTTTACCGATTATTTAAAATCACAAAATCAGAATGTAGAACAAATTTTTGAATGTCTTTTAAACAATACACATAGACCTGAATACACTGCCCTTTTAGGTTACTTTTATTCTAAAGGAATAGGAACAAAACCTAGTTTTCGTAAAGCTTATAGTTTATATCTTTCTGAAGCTAAAAAAGATTTCTTCATAGCTCAAGATTTAGTTGGTGATTGTTACTATTTGGGTCGTGGAACAATTAAAGATTGTAGAATGGCTTTTGAATGGTATCAAAAGGCCGCCGACAATGGAAGTATTGGTGCGCTTACAAGTTTAGGAATTTGTTATTATTTAGGTGAAGGTGCTCCGATGGACTATCATAATGCTTTTCAACATTTTAGAAAAGCTGCAAGCTTAGGAAACATTATGGGAATGTATCGGTTAGGTTATTGTTACGAATTTGGAATTGGAACCGAAAAAGACCTTAAAAAGGCATTTTTATTGTTCGAACAAGCTGCAAGAGGTGGTTCTACCGAGGGTAAAAAAAGTCTTGCTTCATGTTATGAAAAAGGAAAAGGAACTAAAAAGGACATTAAGAAGGCTAAATTTTGGAATAAGGAAGCTGCTAATGACAGTTATAAAGCGACAAACAGACGAACTAAACAAACTCAAAATAAAAATAAATTACCCTCAAAAAATGTTAAAAAAGGTAATATATTTATATTAATAATTTTTTTTTAATTTGTATTCGTCTTTTAATTTCTCATACATACATACATACATATCATCTTAGAGCCTTCCGGTAGAAGCAAGCCTGCTAATGGTGTTAATACAGGTAAGGACTTTTTTTATTAATAAATAAAATAATTTTACTTTTTTTCATTTTAAATTCACACTAACCACGTTTTTTAATGACTTAACTATGTTCAGAGCCTTCAATCAAAAATAAATCATCACCAAAAAATGTTAATTCACATAAGTCACCTTCAGAACCTTCAAATAATGTCAATTCATATGAACATTCAGAACCTTCAGTCGAAGATATTTTATCAAATAGTGTTCATGAACTTTCTTCAAAATCAGAGGCTATCGATTTAGGTAAAGTATTTACGTTAATTAATTATACTCGTTGAATTCATTATTAAATTTAAAAATTTTTTTTTTTTGAACCAATTTCAGAGCCTTATGTAGAAATCGATTTACCTGAATCTCCTGAAGATTCTTTTGATGCTATTATTCCAGGTAAAATATTCATCATGTCATTTATACCTTAAATTTAAATTATCCTTATAATATCAATCACACCATATTTTTAGATCCTTCTGACGAACATTCTCTTGAAGAATCTGAAATTATCATTCCAGGTAAGGTATTCAATCATGTTGTTTATACATTAAATTCAATTTAATCTAATTATTAAATTACTATTTCAGTCGAATCATGTTCAGAACCTTCTGCAGAAAGCAATTTACCAGAAGAAACTACTGTTTCATATGAATCTTCATTAGAATTTGTTGATATATACGAATCTTCTGAACAATTTTCTGAAAATATTATTCCAGGTAAATGATTTAATCTAATAATAATGATATTTACATTTTAATTTCATGATCTCATTTTAAATTATTTTATTCTATTAGCCACATCATGTCCAGAACACTCTGTTGAAGGCGACATATCAATAGAATCTTCTGAACAACCATTTGAAAATACTATTCCAGGTAAATTATTCTATCAATCAATCAATCAATCAATTATAATTTTTGATTTTAAAATTAATATCCTCATTTAAATTATTATATTAGACACATCATGTACAGAGCCCTCTATTGAAAGCGATATACCGTTAGAAATTACTGATCCTCCTGTGGAATCTTTTGAACAATCTTCTGAAACTATTATTCCAGGTAAATTATTTAATTATTTAATTATTCATGATATTTTTTAAATTTAAATTCAAATTTAATAACCTCTTCTTAAAAAATTATATTATTCATTTCAGAGCCATCTATTGAAAGTGATATACCATCGGAAACTACTGATCTCCCTGTAGAATCTTCTGAAAGTATTATTCCAGGTAAATTTTTCAATCATTATATTTACATTTTACTCACTCTACTTTTAATTTTAACCACACCATTTTATATTATTATGTCCAGAAACCTCAATTGAAAGCAATACACCATTAGAAACTACGGATCCATCCGTGGAATCTTTTGAAATTATCAATAAAGGTAAAAATGGTTATATTAAATAACCTCATTATATGTTAAGTCTTTGGTATTAATTCAAATTTAACCTTATTTTTAAATTATTATATTCAGAGCCATCTATTGAAAGCAATATATTGTCAGAAACTACTGAACCACATGAATGTCCTCCCGTGGAACTTTCTGAAATCGCTAATCAAGGTAAAGCATACATGTATATGCGTGCGCGTTTCATTTAAATTTGTATTAATTATATTAATGTTAATGAAACGAATTATCAGAACCAGAGTTGTCTATGGAAAGCAATTCATCACCAGAGTTGTCTATAGAAAGCAATTCATCACCAGAAAATGCTATGATACAAGAATCCTCTCCTAAGCCTCTTAAAATTGTTGATAAAGGTAAATCAATTTAATGTGAAATAAGTTGCCCTGCCTTTTAAAAATATCGTATTCATTTTCTTTTCAAATTACTATATTATATTAAAGAATCTCCAGTCGAAAATGATTTAACATCATCAACAACAATAGATTCAGAAGAATTTACAGCTCTTTCTGAAGGTGCTTTAGTATCTATCTTAAAAAACAATAATTTGCTCATGGAAGAAGGAGAAATTTGGATTCTTATAATTAGATGGGGAATCGCACAAAATCCATCATTAGATAAAAGTATTGAACTTTGGACTGATGAAGATTTTCAAATTTTAAAGATTATTCTTCAAAATTGTCTACCTCATATTCAATATTTCCGAATTTCCAGAGTTGATATCATAGAGAGAGTTCAACCTTATCATCAAATTCTTGAACCAACTCTATGGCAAAAAATCATTACATCTTCCAACAAAAATGGAAATGACAGTGATGAAGTTTCTAGCGTTGATACAAAACCTAGTGTTCCCACCAAGAAAAAACGTAAGAGATGTTCAAAATTGGAACAAGTAGAAAAACGTATAAACAGACGAATTAAATGGTATAAAAAGAATCTTTATGATGAAGTTAATTATGAATTATTGGATGGTATGATAAAACTTTTTCTTAGAATTATGATTTCAAACATTTATAATAATAATAATAATAATACGTCTTTAATATTTTTATACATTACTTTATAGATTTTCCTGCTTGGTTACGCGGTTGCGAAATGGACAAATATGCTCCTTTATTTGAGGGAAAACGATGGCAAGATATTGTAAAAATGAAATATAAAGATTTAAAAGAATTGGGAATTGACCATCATGAATCAGCATGGCAATTACAATCGAATTTTTGGATTATTAACTGTGATCTTGTAAGTTATTTATTTTTATAAAACAAATATATTAAATAAATTTCTAAATAAATGAATTATATATTTTAAATATATATATATTTTTTTTTTCAACGATTTTTTTAATAGGCTGCAAAGAAAGGAAAAACATTACCTTATAAAGGAGGCGTTGATAGAATAAATATTGATTTGGAATTATTGAATGGTAATGTATTTACGCGTTTTAAATCGCGTACTTTTTTTTTAAAATGTAAAATCTGACTATAAACAAATTTATTTTTTAAATATTAGATTTTCCTGAATACCTTAAAACTATTGGTATGGAACAATATGCGCCCCTGTTTGCAGGAAAGAATTGGAAAGAAATTATTGATATGGATCATAAAGATTTGAAAGCTTTAAAGATCGAATCTGTCAGTCACAGAATAGACATGGTTAAAAAATTCTGGGTCATGAGGCGTAAAATCGTACGTGATCCATTTTTTATTTATTAAATTTATTTAATTATTCATCGCGTCTTTATATTCTTTATAACTAATAATTAAATTTTTATTCTTTAGTATCATACGAAAAGGGTTAATAAATGTGTTTTGATTCCTTCTAAAAAAAGAACAAAAATCCCTGACGTCATTTCCGATTTTGAAGATCCAAAGGAAGATCTAAAGGATGATCCAAAAGAAGATCTAAAGGAAGATCCGAAGGAAGATCCAAAAGAAGAAGTTGTTCAATTAAATGAGTCTGACGAATAAAAAAAAAAAATGAAATGAACGTTAAACCTTAGCTAGAACTCTTTTATATTTTGTTCCTGTACTTTTTGATCTCGAATCTACTTGTTACAAGTAAAATAGAAAAATTTTTTTCTTGTTTAGTTTTTTTTTTTCAATAAATGGTGTGTGTGTTTGAATTCAGTGAATTAAGTCAAAACAGTTTTACGCCTAAAGGACGAGACGGTTTGAATTATGATATACGTACGATTTTCATAGCAGTTAACGTCTGCGAAAATTGTAAATACGTACGTGCGTACGTTTACGTGTTTGTTTTTGTTTATTTTAAAATTGCTATCCAATAATGGGAAGGAACGTCAACTAATGCTTAAACGAACCAAAAAAAAAAAAAAAAAATTTTTTTCTCATGAAAGAGAATAATGCTAATATCAGGATTTGTTAAAACGAGAGAATAGTAAATAATCCTCGCCAATTTCGAAAAATTCTATTTTAACATGTATTGAAATTATAAAGTTATTTCGCGGATTGACTATATGGCATTAACACCGTAAGAAAAATATATAAAAAATTTTCGATTCAAAAAAAACTTTTTTTTTAACGTTATATAATTTTTATTCGAACTTTGGTATTTAGATCCGTCCAAACCGACGAAAAATCCATGTGTAACATATCATATTCTAAAATTCTAAGTATCATAAACCTTCTGATCGAATAAAATTTCTTATTCGAATTCGAACATATCGACATTTCGAATTTAAGATTATCCAAAAAATTCCAGGCACATGATAATGCTGCAACATTGATATAAAATATGTATAATGGTACAGTATATAGCATAAAAAAATGGTTATTGAATGTATATCGATCAAATATTAAAAAAAAAAAAAAAAACCTTGTGCTTACATTAGTAAACTGTACACGGGGCCATAAGTATACAATGAACTTTTTACCACTAAATCATACCAATTGAAAGAATTCCAAATTCGGAAGACAAGACGCACATTGTTTTTTTTTACATAAAGTAGGCAATGGTGAATAGAACTTGCCCATACTTTGATCTGAATGTTCTACTTATAACCTTCGTAAACTTTATACGATAAAATTTCTTGTTTCCCGAATTTGGAACCGATCATTTGGCGTTATAACATGTTTTTAAAGTCTAATTCGATCGTTATGATAACCTAACCAACTCAAGTAATTAAATTTGTATTTACTATCCTGCAAAGTTGTTATCGTTATAAAATTTTCACTGTCACGTGAAGATATACAAAACATTAGGAAGATATAACCAGTGTCCGAAACTCAATTTTTAATTTAGTTGCGGGACCGCATCTGAAAAAGATCTACTTGCGGATTATATGAATTTAGTTGCACACATGAAGTATCGATATGCAAAATTCAAAAAATTCATTTGCGGAAACTTAGAAATCGTTTACGCGCTGCAACACAATTTCAGATACTGGATATAAATGAATGCTGCCAAAAGAAAACTCGTAAATCTTATAAGATTTGCGAGCGATACTCAAATAGGAATGGCAAAAAAAATTTTTTTATATATTGAAAAATCGTATTCAGATCATAAATGTCACCTGATTTAAACCAATAAAAATCTTTTGTTGCCATCCCTAGATATAACCACTTTACCAACCTAAAAAATTTCGCTATCTGGTCACATTAAAATCCAAGATCAGGTGTATATAAAATCAAAACAAAACTATTCCAAACCCTAACGCTTGTGGCGAATTTTTTTTTAGACTGGTGACGCTAGTATCTTAGAACACAGTACACACGTGACTAATTTCGCATGCCCTAACTTTAATGCCGTGTCTGCTGTGCATTAAGACACGTGTATGCTGTGTCGGTATATTTTTTCCCCAAAAAATTTTGGTCCTGTTCTAATTGATTTAAAATCACAAGGTTACAATTTTTTTATGCAATAGCTATGTGTGTGTCATACAACGCCAGGAGAAAACGAAAATGGGACTTCGATTTGTATGATCGATATTTCATTTCTCTTGGTATCACTCATATACTACGTAACACCTATAATGACAGTCTACTTTACTCTTAAGCACGGCATATGGACATGTCAGTTTACTATATAGTATATATTTATTAATTGGAAATAAGTTTATATAGATGTCAATACAACTTTATCCACTTATCGTTAATTTTATTTATTATTTAACTAGTTTAGTAAATATGTGTACCCTATAACTCAAAAATCTTGTTTATACTTTCATTTCGATTAAATCAAATATCTTAATAAGTATATTTAAGGTACAATATGTACACTTATGCTTTTTGTATTGTTGCAGCAATTACGTGTTCAATGAAGCTTCATTTATTTGTACTGGCACACAAATATCTAAAAAGGTTCGGTTAAAGCGATGCCAATTCAATATATGATCTACATACTGCATATAATATCTATACATCAAAAAAGTAACCCTAACAACCTTGATCTCGCTTTAGCTGATCTAAAGAAGATCTTAATTGCCAATCCGAATATGACCGGCACTATTACTTTATTTGTGGATGGCTAAAGCGGAGTGAGGTTTAGGGTTATCTTTTTGATGCAATTATGGTTAGTAGATAAGTAATAATAATATCCTGATCCGTTGGGAATTAGCGGAACCTCCGTTTCCGCTTATTCACATACGGTCAGGGTATTATTAATTAATACTCCCGTGATCTTGATATAGTGATCGGGGT